ACTTAGTTGTGATGTTACATCAAATTCCAAAATATTTTTTTGGCGAAGCAGTTCTTACTGCAACATGTCTTATCAATCAAATGTCTTGTCATGTACTTAACTTCAAAGCACACTTGCATGTTTTGAGGGTTACCTATCCAAACATTAGAGTTTTCTCTTCTACCATCCCACTTAAAATCTTTGGGTGTGTATCATTTGTTCATTTTCATTCCTAAAATCATACAAAACTTGACCATACATCTATCAAGTGTATTTTTCTAGGGTATGCCACCAACAAAAAGGGTATAAATGCCACTCCTTTGTTACCAGAAGATACTATAATTGCATAGATGTCACATTCTTTGAAAAAGCAATCATAATACCAAAATTTATTGTTCTGGAAGAAAGTGCAAATAAACATCAATTTTGGGATGCACTTGATAACACCTACACAGCCTCGCCACCTACTCTACCTAGCGCTTCTATCCTAATTGAGGATGCCCAAACAACCCAACCAAACTAACCTGAAGTCCAGAACAAAGAACTTCGTGTGTACACAAGGTGGAAGAAAATTACGAGCAGACAGAAGATAACTTGCAAGGATAGAACTAAAATTAAAACTTGAGTCCGCATTCATCTGAAATTTTGGATAAGTAGTCGAATACTTGAGTTATAACATTTCTCTTTTGATGTTTATGACAAGGAAAGTTGCATTAAATATCCAATTCAGGTGTATGTACCTTATGAGAAGCTATCCTCATCTTACAAAGCTTTTGTTTCCAACCTTGATAGTATGCATATTTCTAAATTCATTCATGAAATTTTTGAAAGTTCAGAATGTAAAATGAAAAAGCACTAAAGCATAATGTTACATGAATTCTTACTAAACTCACTCATGATAAGAAATCTGTTGGGTGCAAATGGGTGTTCAATATTCAATACAAAGTTGATGGGCATATTGAGTGATTCAAAGCTAAATTTTTTATTGCAAAAAATTTCACTCAAGCATATGGGATATAGTATTAGGAGATTTGTTAAACTTAACACATCAGAGTTTTCCTTTCAGCAGTATTTAATAAGGAATGAGGATTGCATCAACTTGACATAAGAAATACCTTCTTGAATGAGAATCTAAAAGAAGTGTGTATGGAAATATCATCAGGATTTGAGTGATTACAACAAACACCTAATATGAAAATTCAGGAAGGTTCTCTACAGGCTTAAACAATCACCAAGAACTTGGTTTGAAAGATTTGCAAAAATATGAGTTCTAATGGGTTTTCTCAATGTCAATATGATCGTACTCTATTTGTAAACACACTCAGGGAGGTATGATTATTACACTGATAGTATATGTGAATGATATAATTCTTACTAGTGCTGAGGAAAGAGAAATTCTCATGATCAATGAAGTGCTTGTCATGGAGTTTGTAATCAAAGACCTAGAAATCATGATATATTTTTTAGGTATAGAAGTAGCAATTTGAATTTATGTTGGGCAGGTCTACTATGGAAGCTATACATTTATTGAGAGCTTTGATGAAGAAGTTCAGAGATAATACAGAGGATCTACATATGATATTTATTGATTTAGAAAAGCTTACGATAAGGTTTTAAGAGATATGCTCTGTAGAGTTCTAGAAAAGAAAGGTGTTGATATGATTTATATTCAAGTTATTAAAGATATGTATGCAAGAACTGTTACGTGTGTTCGAATAGAAGAGGACTGACCAAATATTTTACTATTTATGCTGGTTTATATTAGGGATCGGCTTTAAGCCCATATCTTTTTGCTTTAGTTAAGGATGGTTTTATTGGACACTTGTAGGAGGATCTACCTTGGTGTACGCATTTTATTGATGATATCCTTCTCGTGGATAAGACGAGCGCATTTTATTGATGATATCCTTCTCGTGGATAGGACGAGAGAAAAAGCTCATGAAAAACTTGAATTATGGAGGTCTACCTTGGAGTCTAAAGGCCTTCGTTTGTGTAGAACTAAATCTGAATACATGGAATGTAATTTTAGTAGTAGTAGCTCTAGTGACAAAAATATAACTTTGGGTGATTAAATCGGGTCTATTGTTCAAAGTCATAGTGATATAGATGGAGATGTTATTAGTAGAATTCAAGTTGTTTGAAGTGGAGGGGTGCATTGGGGCTTTCTATTGTGTGATAGAAAAGTACCGCTTAGACTGAAAAGAAAATTTTATAAGATGGTGGAAAGACCTGCAATGCTATATGGCACTGAATGTTAGCCTTTAAAAGTGAAGCATACAACTAAGTTAAGTATTGTCGAGATGAGAATGATTAGGTGGATGAGTGGCTTTACACTTAGAGACAAAATGTGAAATGAATATATTTATGATAGAATTGGTGTAGCTTCAGTGATAGAAGAAATTAGAAAGAGTCGTCTTAGATGGTTTGGTCACATTAAACGTCGACCATTTGATGATCCGATCAGAAGAGTGGATGTTTTAGATTCGACTTATGTTAAGAAAGGCAAAGGTTGACCTAGGATGACTTTGGCATATTGTATAAAAAATGATCTTAATTTATTAGAGTGAAAATATGACACTAAATAGGCCACAATGGAGAAAAATGATTCATGTACCGACCCCACTTAGTGGGATAAAGGTTTGTTGTTGTTGTTGTTGTCGTAGAGGTAGCAATATCCAAGGAATGCATTATTATATCACAGTGAAAATACATCCTAGATCTATTAATAGAGACAGGGATGATTGGATGCAAACCTACTAATACTTCAATAGAAGCCAACAAGAAGTCTAACAGGAGAGAAGTATGTATGTGAATAAGGGAAGAAATTAAAGTTCGGTAGAAAAACTCATTTATTAATCACATATTAGGCCAGATATTGCATACTCTGTCACTATTATGAGCCAACACATGTATAGTTTTAATGAATAGCATTTGGAGATCGTGTACATGATTCTAAGGTTTCTCAAGAGAACTCCTGGTTATGAATTAATTTCTTAGAAAATCAAAACAGGAGAGGTTGAAGTTTTCACAGATGCAAGCTAGGTTGGAGAATTTACTAACAGAATGTCCACCAGAAGTTACTTCTCCTATGTATGGGAAAATCTGGTGACGAGGAGAAGAAGCAAGCAGTTCTTTCAATAGGCAATGAAGAATCAGAGTATAGGCTCTCGCCTTAGAAATCTATGCAGAGATATAGATTCATAATTTGTTAAGGGAACTGGAATGTACTTCCTATACAGATTTTTGTGACAGTCAAATAGCTATCAGTATTGTCAAGAATAATGTTAGTCATGCAGGACCAATCATATCAAAGTTGATAGACATTTCATCTCTCAAAAATTTAATGAGGGAATTATACAACTAAGCTATATTCTGACACACCAACAAGTTATTGTTGTTTTCACCAAAGCCTGGTCTATGCAACATCTATGACCCAACCTGAGGGGAGTGTGGAGATCAGGCCACTTCCAAATCAAGAGGAAATCTATGAAAATCCTAGAGGAAATCGGAGAAGGTTTTGGAGGATTTGATTGGGACAACTTAGGAAACTCTTGAATAGTTTATTCCTTTCCTATTCTATGTTTTTTATTTTATTTTTTTAATTCCAAAATTGTTTCTCTTCTCAATTTAGGTTAGATATTTTTTGTAAATTTGTAAATTTGGAGGACTATTTTTCCTTATATATATGTACCCTACATGTAAATAATGACATCAAAAGAATTATTCCTCTCCAAACTTACTCTTGACCCATGAACAAGTGAAGTCTCGTACAACTAATTCAACACAATAACAATTGAGACCCTTCTAGTAATCATGTTCGAAGGCGTGTTTTAGTCTATGTAAACATTGGTCGTAGCTGTTTCAAATTTGATATATGCTCTAACTGACTAATCTAACCTAATGAAAAGGATCGGCAGGGAGCAAATAATTTGGTTTTTCGATGAACTGTAGATTTTGAGGTCCATATCACATGACTGAGAGCTGGATTAAATTTTCTCTGGATGGACAGTTGCCCACTAGTTATTTTGGACTGCTAATTATAGAGAGCAGAGGCCATAGATGGATATTGCTAAGTGGTTTTGTTCTTTGACCTTTTTGATATTTACTCATGCTATTGCAAATTAATCAGCTTTTTGACTGGCTGATGAAGCAAGAAATTGCTAGAATTCTTGTGAAATTGCTATGCATTACTTGTTGTGAGTCTTCTTACTGCTTTTCTGCATTTTGGTATAGGCTCGCAAAATTACTTCAAATTTGTTCAGTTTTTTGTGCTACTGCGATTAATGCATGCTGGCTCTTTATAAGCACACAACTTTGCAAAAATTTGCAATGAATTCATCATTTTGTTTTCCCGTGAACTATTAACTTATTTTTATTGTTATAAACGACTGGCAGTTTTCTTGCTACGTTTTGTACCATGCATTTTGTGCTTTGACTACGTTTCTTCTTCTCTAAAGGAAAACAATATCTTGTAACTTTTTCTATAAGATTCGAAAGTTTCATTTTAATTAGATCCTTATGAAGGTGTTTGAGTCTGTCCCTTTTTTTGGCTTAGTTAATTTGATGATTGTCAGCAATGCCTTTCAGTCGGAAAACTACATATTTCTATAGTCATGATATTCTTTTTCCTTTTGCCATATGCTTAACTAGGGCATATGGAAAATTGACTTCGACTAGTAGTCAATATCTTATATATAAAGAAGCTGCAAATTATAATGAAAATATTTTGTATGTGAATATGCTGAATTCAAATCAGCATGTATTTGTGTAAATGGTTTGCAGAGCATCAAATATTTCCTTTCTTAGGGTAAAATCCTTTCACAGAACTCTGCATAGAAGCTCATTTTATGGAAGCTTGAACTCCCTTGATCAATTTGGGCCAATCTTTGGATGTATTTATTTCACATGGTGGTTTGTGGTTGCCTGCTTGGATTCATTACCTAATTGAAGGTTTTTGTACAAAGTGAAAACATTTTTCACCAATAGATTTTCTAATCTTTTTTCTCTATCTTATATTATAGAATCAACCTGCTCTAGAGAAGGATCGATACAAAATTCGGCAAGCTTTTATTGCTGGACCGGGAAACTCGCTTATAGTTGCTGATTATGGGCAGGTGAATTAATAAGGTTCAATTTCTCTTTTTTTTTTCATAAATTTAGGTTTCTATATTAATTTTATTTTACATTACCTGAATGAAATCTAAAATTTTAGCTGGAGCTCAGGATTTTAGCTCATCTTTCAAATTGTAAGAGTATGTTGGACGCCTTTAAAGCTGGTGGAGATTTTCACTCAAGAACAGCTATGAATATGTATGCACATGTTCGAAAGGCTGTAGATGATAGGAGAGTACTTCTTGAATGGCATCCCCAAACAGGAGAAGAGAAACCACCAGTCCCTTTGTTGAAGGTAAACATTCTTTTACAATTCCTCTTTTTTAAAATGCAGTTGTCTCTTTTTCCGGGGAAGATGGATCCTTCGTGGAATTATAGTGAAAATAGAAAGTCTGATGCATTCTATAGATTTTAAAAGCAACATCAGCTTTGTGGTGATTAGCTTACTATGAAAACTATATAGTTCACATTTTTTGATATTTTTGTTTGATTATCGATTGAAATATTGTTCTACGTGGTCAAGTAGTTTACACGTCACCCTTTAATTGTTGGCATTTTTTATTGTGACCGTTGGTGCATATTTTAGTTTTATCTCATTTTTAAATCTATTTCCTTAATCTGATATTTAAAATTTTCATATTATAATTCTTCTTTTTGACATTAAACTATGTTAGAAAGCAGTAAATTACCCCTTTTTTGCTCGAGTAGAAGTTAAAATTGCAGCCCTCTATATGAAATTGTGTTTTAGATTTATGCCAAATCCTGTCTTTTCTTAAACAGGGTAATCTTCTGTGTTGCTTTGGAAGGGGGCAGAGAGAGAGAGAGAGAGGTACATCCACATCAGACCACACAGCCTGATTCCTGCAAAAAAATTTAATGTCAAACATTAATTATCAGAAGGAACTTCAGAATCGGAAATGGCATCAACTGTTGAAAAGGATACTGTTAAGCATGTGTCAGCATTCAAATTAGTCACTATTGCTTTCAAATTATGACCAAAAACGGTAGCTAAAAAATAAGGAGCAATAATTCAAACAAATTACTAATTCACTACCTCAAGAGAAGTTTGTAAAAAGTTGTAGTCAGATACTTCAAACAAATGCTAATTCACATCTACATCACAGTATAAGGTCAAGACCTCTTTTTGTAGGTTTCCAAAATAATTAGCTAGGCCTTCTTCAGAATCATGCATTAGAGTTAACTTTGACCACGATAACTAACTAATTCACATCTACATCACACCATAAGGTCAAGACCTCTTTATGTAGGTTTTTAAAATAATTAGCTAGGCCTTCTTCAGATCATGCATTAGAGTTAACTTTGACCACGATAACTATGCAGCATTACCTTTAGAATTTTGACCTCCTGATGCATAAGGCCAGAACTTTGGTGTGCTGGGAGAAGGCTCATTCCGGTGAAGACAATTTTCTGCATTTTATCACTCATATATCTGATGATGAAAAATCATAACAAGAAGATGAAGTAAAGATACTTAGAATCAACAAGGAACTCTCAAAATTAAAATAATAATAATAATAATAATAATAAAGCATAAACAGATGTTGATGCAATACATATATATATATATATATATTTTTTTTTTTTTTTTTTTTAAAACTGTCATTCTTCATCAGAAGACTGGCTCATGTGATTCTCGGTCTGATTAGATATTAGAACCACAGTAGAAGGAAAGACAGTCGATGCTACATCGATAGGTTCCAGTGTATGTGAAGTATGAATTGTCACCTCTGCACATGATGCTTCCTAAATCGGAGCTGCGGGGCTATCACGATTTTTGGTTTGAACATTATTCGTTGTAGTAAGGGGAAGACATCAAGTCCTGTCTTGTGGTGATTCTCTCCTCAGGTTGGCTGTCATGAGTTTTGTTGGGAGCGCATTCAGGCACGTGGGCTGCACTAACAACATGTTCTTGCTTTTGACTATTGGTATGATGCTTCCTAAATCGGAGCTGCGGGGCTATCACGATTTTTGGTTTGAACATTATTCGTTGTAGTAAGGGGAAGACATCAAGTCCTGTCTTGTGGTGATTCTCTCCTCAGGTTGGCTGTCATGAGTTTTGTTGGGAGCGCATTCAGGCACGTGGGCTGCACTAACAACATGTTCTTGCTTTTGACTATTGGTTCTCAACTGTGGGTGTAATCTGAAACATTTCTCCTGCGGGTATTCAAATATCTTGCAGTGCTTACAGTAGTAAGGTTTTTGTTCATAATGATTTTTTGCCAATAACCACTGTGAGCAGAGCCAAGCCAGACTTCTTCTACAGCTGGTAGTGTAATATCTCTTTGAATCAAAATCCTTGCAGTTTAGGGTCTTGAGAAATGAACTGTGGGTAAGTCTATCTGTAAAAGTTTTTCAAGGGTAGTTCCAATTGCATATAAGATAGGTAGGTCAAATAAATGATGCTTGAGTTCAAGTAACGAGAACCAGATAGACGCAATTGGGGGTTCTTGACTGGGATCAAAATTAGGGGTCCATTTGAGAAATTTCATATGTTTGTCCTCTATTATGTGAATTTCTTTGAGAAAATTTTTGTGTAATATTCTTCTATACTCAGCTGTATCATAACGTGTCTTCCGTCAAAATGACCCACCTGTCAGACCCCAACTAGTTTGAAGTCTTCAAAACCTTCCTGATAATTTTCATCTTTGGGAAACCTAATTGGAACTTTCCAACTAGTATAAATTTGTATTTTCCCGCACGAGTTGAAATTTCAGTATCAGAGAAGAATATTATTGATTTGCCCTCATTTATCTCTACTTTCTTGATGAGATTGCAATCTCCATGTTCTGCAATAGAATCATGGTACGTCTGCGGGAATATCGGACTATCTGCAAGATGGAAAGGTGAGCTGCATTTGTGAACCACTGTAGCATAGGAGGGTTTGGCGGGGTTATCACCGGTGAGGGCGGCGACGTAAGAAATCCCTAAGGCCATTAGCGTGCTTCACACAAGCACCGCAGGAGATAAGGCAGTGCAGCGGACGACAGCAGAAAGCAACCACCGCAAAACTGCGACAGCGAGCAGCGTCGACAACGACGTAGCCAACAGAGGCCAAGCCGAAGACGCTTCTGTCGAGATGGAACGAGGAAGATGAATCAGCCTACAGACGGAGCTGAAACTGTCGTGCGGGCCTGCAAGCAAAACGACGGAGCGTGGAGCCGTATCAGAAACGAAGACGATGTCGTGCGAGCCTGCGATCGACGACATCGTGCGAGATTATGAGCTTGTCGTCAACTCGAACCGACGTCGACTATGGACTGAAAGCAGGAATTTTCAACGTCGGAAATCGCCAAGGCGAAACCCTAGCAGAGATCGCGTCGCCGCCATATATATATATATACAAGGATGGCGTCGGCGGCGGGCAGCTCTGCTAGGGTTTCGCTTGATGGCGATTCCCTGTTTTGACATTTTCGGCTTCACTCCATCTGGCATTCAGTTTCATCATCCCTCTTTTTCTATTGCAGTAATCGTGCCCGACGACGAAGGGCCTTTTCGGTTTCTTCTTTCGCAATTGCGCCCGACGACGGTTCTCTTCTATCGCAGCTGTGCTCGACGACGAAGGCCTATTTTGTTTTCGTTGTCTCCCTTCGCAGTTGCGCTTGATGACGAACCTTCATTTTTTTCGTCCCACTTGTTGCACTGTTACGAGGCAGACTTTGCTCGCGTCGTCTCTTCTGCTCTCCTTTTTCTAGCGGCTCGCCTAGCTGCTCTGCAAATGGCCTGTACAATGCGTTCCTATGCCATTGCACTTGCCGACGACTTTCCTTTTCCTACTCGTGCTCCTCTTTCAGGTTCAGAGCCTGGTTTTCATATTGACTAGTCCTGCAATGTTCCACAATAGTTGCACGATGCTCTTGAAGGTGGTGGTGATCACACTTTCATCAAAACACTAGGTAAAAAAATGGGAAACCTGTTCTGATTCTCACTAAGGTTGAAACCAATACTCTCGCGTCCTCTTGGCGTTTTGCTCTAGTGAGGAAATTCTTTTAAGGTCACCCAAAACTTGAGATCTTTCGGAAAGATTTTGATGCTATGAAGTTATTGGGCAGTTAGAATATTTGCTTACTTGACGAACGACATATTCTTATTCAGTTATCTCACGATGTCAATTAGACTCCCATTCTTTGTCGAAAAGTTATCAAAATCGGCAACTATTTTATGAAATTTTGAAGAAATTCTGAAGTAGACTGTCTGTTTTGATCCAAAAGCGGAGTCCCCTATTATTTCGGTTTGTATAAAGTTTCTGGGGTTAAAATTACATTTGTTCAATTTGAAAATTCTCTGCTCCTTAGCAATTGCATACGGTAAGACTCTCAAGGTTGATAGTCCCACACTTGCTGTCACCAGACCCTCGGTGGCTTGTGTGTTAGTTGAGAGAGATATCAGTCAACCAACTTCGGATGAGGTATGGATTGACACCACTCATAACGGGTAATGGCAAAAAGTTGAAATAGAACCACACCCTTCTTATTGCTCTCATTATAGTATGTTTGACCACAGTTCTATTATTTGCTATCACTTGTATCGTCATCTAAGTCCGAATATCGCTAAATATGAGTCATCTACCATCCCTGTTAAGAAGCTGCAACCCGATTCTCATTCCAATCGGCAGTTTATGATGGAGAACACCATACTACAGATACAGATCTAAATGTGCTTAGACCACTCACTATTATTGAAGAAGTCCCACGAGAGTGCTCCTTCGATTCGATAAAAGATCAGCTGATATAACAAGTAGTTGCTTTTAATTTTCAACAACCTACACATGTCCGACACACTTTAGACCAATCTACTGATCAGGTGAGCCAATATTTAGATGAGGAATGACAGGTTTATACCAGGAGGAAGAAGAAGAATGGAGGCCGACTCGAGCTCGAGAACTTATTAGATGATACATTGGTTACTACTGACAATGACACTCAACTTACCAATTTATTAGCTGACTCCTTCCCTAGAACTAGAGGCAAAGGTAAGACAAAATTGTGTCGCTCTCTAGCAACCCGATTCTCTGTATTTTGACAATTTTTTGTTTTTCTTTACGGCTCTCATGTATTTTTTTTATTTTTTTCTCTTTTTGAAACCTTTTGCATGTGGTCATTATCGTGCGGGCAAGGTGACATGTTTGGACCCTCCTACAAAATCTATTTGTGTCATATTTTCTTTTAATATATTAGCCATTGAACTTTCTCAATATATATATATATATTATTTAATTTTTTGAAAAGCTCGAGGGCTAAATTTATTAAAGTAGGAAATATACATAAATGTTGTATG